TATGCTTCAAATAGTTTGAAATAATAATAATTCAAATAATTTGATATTGATTAATAATAATTTCAAATAATTTGAAGCACATTGGCTTCAAATACTTATCTCACTCCCAGTAACCCCTTTAAAGACAGGTTTGCGTAATTACAATTTTCTAAGTTTTAAGGCAAATGTCAACTGTTCAGTTACAAAAAGCACTGATTTTCGCTAAGTGGGTAGACAATACTAACACCTAAATGCCAAGCAATTAGAAAGTAAAAGACTATATACTGTTTAGTTTTGCATCTACAAAATCTCATCAAATAAATTAAAAAAAATTATGTTCTTATTTTCATTGAATCCATAATACTACAACATGAAACACTTATTTAAACATAATGCAGAAATTTTCACGTATATTTTCATCTGTCCAACTACAATTGTGTTTGTATTGAACAAACGTCCTTAGTAGCTGGCAACCTGGTGTAATTTCTTGTCACAGTACAAAAGTAACAACCATTTCCAAGACCCTCAGAAACTACCAGACAGACTGCAGCTGCTGAAGACAGGACAAGCAGATTTCAAGGAGACTGCTGTTAAAGAACATAATTCTAAACATTATCATTATGAAGCAGCAAGGTCAGAAAACTGAATTTTCCACTGGGTTAAGGACAGTGTAAATACCTCAGCTGCGAGCATATAACGACCAGTGCTTAAAGTAACTTAAAGTTCAAAAAACAGCATAAACTTTAACTTTCTTCATTTTAAGCAAATAATCTTACTACTTTTTGCTCATTAGCAATTATCAATGACAATAGTTGTAAGAGAGAAAATAGCTCTAACTTTGTAGAATTTTGAATGTTCGAGTCCAGAAAAAAAATACCCAGATTTTTTTTTTTAAACAACAATCCAAAAAAAATTTATGCCCACTACGTGGTATTATTCTCTGAAACAAAGATTTATTTCCATCAGGTAACCTATTAGATAGCCTGAAAAGTAATTTTGTTTTCATAATACTTACACCTGAAGATAAATGCGGACTTTTTAAGGTTGCTTTTGCAAGTTAACTTTTTAAGGGGACTCTGCTTTAACAAACTTGATAGCTGAGCAATGAAAGAGTTATATTTGACTTTTAAAAAACATTCTAAAATTGCAACACTCCATTAGTATATAAAAGCACGTACGATGCTATAGCAAAACAGAGCCTTAGAAAAGCAGACAGTTCATCAACATCACTTGTCATTTGCTGCAATTTACTGAATCAATCATTTCAAAATGCGTTTACAATTTTAAGAATCAATTCCTATTTATACAGCAGAAACAGATAAAAAGAATTGTTAAAATAAGTTATCTGTCATTCTGCCTTGACAGATAATTGAAAATGAAATGTTCCCGGAGTTCACTTGCTAAATGAGAACCAACCAGAGGTGAGGAAATTTTGCAAACAAAACTCCTGTCTGGATATACTTCTGAAAGAACAATCCAAAGAACACACTCTAAATGACAGATACCTACGTTTTGGTAAACTTAGTCCCTTTTAATTTAAGGATACTAACAAAATTAATGACAACAACTTTGTAACACAAGTTTTGTCACTTAGATGAATCACTATCTCAGCATCTAGTTATATTTACCAGGTACAACACAACACGTTAATCAATTTACATCAAGTTTTTTGGGAAATGACAAAACTTGAGTTGGTAAGAGGTATTTAAAAAAAAAACCCAAAAAAATAATCAGACTGTGACTAATGATAATAAGCATCTATTGCTTGAGTTCAAACCACGTAGATTTCACCCTCTCAGCTTTTATCTCAGAACTGGATAATTACCATTCACTCCTATCAAAGGATGAGCTACAATATACAAATAGCAGCATTGAAATAATGGTAACTTTTAGGAAAACCTGTTTGTTACTAGCTGCTTTAAAAAAAATCCTAACAAAATATTTTTACAGTGCAGGAAAACTGACGTCAAGAACTTGAAGAAACTGAAAAGACCAAGGTCTGGGTAACTTCAACAAGTAATGACAGCCTGACACTGTACATAGGAATTGTTGCATGGTATAAAAGGGAAGGATTTATTAATGATATACTTATATTTTTCAGTTGCAAAGGTTTCTTTAAAGTCTTAACCTATTGTTAGGTGAAAATTCTGCATACACTCAATAAGACTCACAATTCTTCTTCCTGCACTATCATGCACAAAACCTGCTTTGCCTGAGAGTATTTTGTGAGTATGTAGCATTAAAGCATCAGAACTCAGTTCAGAGCAGATTCTTTTGAGATCTCTGGCAAGAGAAGAAGCTAAAAATTTTTGGGAGTGGCAGAGAAGCTAACTGGTGCTGCTTCTGACTAGGAGATCCAAGAGCCTGAGGTGACGTCCAAGAGCCCGAGGTGACATCCAGCCATGAAGTCCAACCTGGCCCAAACTTGGAGGAAAGAGCAAGACTGGCAAAAGTTTGCCGAAGATCCTCCTAGATGTGGTGCTGTGATAGAAGCAGCACTGAAAAGGAGTTACTAGAAATGTGTTCATGAATGCAAATTTTCTGGTGTTAACTGGTACTGCTCCAAAATTCAGAACAGAGAACAGATATGAGCAAACATCTCTTGTTTCTGAATGGCACTAAGCATCAGTACTTATGGGAACATCTTTTAAAGGGTTCCAGAGGAGATGCTCAACAGTATTTTCACCTACCAGGATTGACAGAAACTAGGAACTTCACCCATCTTGGGGTTAAGCAACGAGACGATGTGTTTAACAGGTGTGTTCTCTGGTGAATTTGAGAACTAGAGCCACAAATCACCATACAACAACGTGACTGAGACCTAGACCCTCCAAATATCACCTGCTGGAGCCACAGCCAGTTTTAGGGATCATCTGGAAACCACCTAGAACACAGTGGAGTTGAAATAGTAACAAGTTTTACTACTTTGGGGATTTTTCCAGCTGCAAAGTCAACATCTGAAGAAGACACCACATTAAGCAGCGACAGATGTTTCTGCATCTTGGGCTCCTTTTTTCCTATAGGATTACAATAATCAACAGAGGTTGCAAAAATGAGGGCTACACTTCTTAACGGTGTTGTCAATCTCTTGCACAGAGGCTGGGGTAAAATGATTTCTGGAAACACTCATGTTTAGAAACCCTACAGAGAACAGTATGCAAATTTCTCTGGAAAAATCTGCAAAGAGACACTGTACAGTTTGTGGAATCCCAAACTCCTCTCATCTGGGGTTTGAGAGTCAGGCACAGCCATACTGTACAGTCACTGAATGAACAAAGAGACAGGACAGAAGCACGCTTTGTACAGGTATAGAGAGCTAAAGACATCAACACCTACAGCGTAGGTACAGCGCATTAACTCAGCCCTCAAAGGAATGCCTTCTTCCTTCTTTTCTAGGTAAGCATAAATCTTGCTTTCTTTTCTCCTTAAATAAAACTATCAACCTTTCACATCTCCTCCTCCCTCAAATCTTCTTTTCCCTCACACCAAGCTCACTGAAGGACCTGCTGTGGCCCAAGATAAAGCTCTTTCTATCTCTCCACTAAGGAAGCAAAAAAAGGAAACCGGGCCCTAAGAATTCTAGGCTCCTTCTACAGTTTATTGGGAATAAAGTCTGAAACACATCATGACTTAAGCCAAGGCTATCCAGGTCTTTCAAAAAGCCTGTCATACATAAAGGCCTGTCATAAGAAAAATACATTGTATTTCTAGAATAGACAACAATACTCAAATAACAGTGCCACTAGTCGTGTTGAGATACATACACACAAACCTAAGGAATATAAAATTCTTTAAAGTCAACTGACTGATCAGTCTGATTATCTCTGTAACACGGGTCCCACAATCTTATGCAGCATCCACTATGTATGTACCCTCATAGAAGCTCCTAACTTCTGCTTAGGATCAAACATTTATTTTCCAAAGACTGCAAAGCTGGATTGAGAGTGCTTCAGTTAATGGCAGTCCGGTTGTTCCAATAATTTTTAACTTTGCAGTTCACCTTTAGATACCAGTTCAGCCTTAAATATTACCTTATCAGCAACAAAATAATCTTGCGATAGTAGATTTTGAACAGAAGGGGGGGAAAATATCCTGAGTTTTTGTAAAATTAGTTTTTGATCAACATTCATATCTTATCCACGATTTTTCTTCTTGCTCCTTATTAATCTCTGCTTCTTCCAAGTCCTGTGAGTTTTACATTCAAACACCTCAAGAGCTAGATGTCAGTCTTTTCCTGCGTATATCTTTACATTGTTTTGCTCTCAATAAAATTTCAGCTGTGACGATGTACGGGTATTTTGATGGAGAAACGTGCCTGGATTTTTCACATCTCTCACTCCACAATTGCCTGGCTGGTGCACATTTAGAAATACCTGTCAGACCAATCCTCAGTATCTTTATAATGCTTAACAGAAACTACTCAACTGACACATTAACCACTGGCAAAACTGCCTCTCAGCCAATAGCTTAAGTAAAAATACTCAAACCAGAGAAAATTGTATGAATAGTATCATACGGATAATCTCATCTGTTCTTTTAGCTATTATGCTAAGTACAATTTCTCCTTCCTTTATAAAAATTATTTTTTTGTTTTCCCTGACTATCTTACTGAGCTAATAAAAGACTAGTTAGCAAAAACTTTAAAGCAGAATTTTACCTTTATAGAATAGGTAAGACAGATAAGTACTTGACTCATCACATTGAAATCACTAGTTTTAGTGGCTCAAAAGGAAGCTGACATACATATATTTATATCTATAATCTATATGTCATCTGCATCTGTATCTGTAAAGTGGCTGCACTCATAATATCTGCTCATTATTTAGGAAGAAAAGTCTCACAGTAAGGGTCCACCTCTGCTACAAAAATAGTTTACTTCTTACTTGAAGAATACAGCACAAAAGCCAAAGTAACACTTAAATAAACTCAGAAAGGACCTTGTTGGAAACAAATTTTTTTGTTCAGGTTTCCTATTCACATTTATAAACAGTGGCCTTAAAAGGAGAATTAACAAAGCTTACCTGCTTTTTTACTGAGTTTGTATAAGAATGTTTGTCGTGGATCTGAATGGTCTCGACATGTCAACTGCAATAAAGAACCAGACTTCTTCCACTTCTGCATAAACCACAGTCCTGCAATGTTAGGTACAATATGATTATAGACACACAATAAAATATGAAGGCTAATAAGTAAAATACGTAAAGCCCACATATTTAGTCTCTCAGATGTTTCTTTTCCTTTTTCATGTCAGTACTGTCAAGTCTGGATACATTTTGAATTTTTGTTCATTATTCTTTCCTGTCTCTCTCTATATATATATTAAAGCATGAAGCCTGTTATTTCCACTAATGCACAGGCCTGCCTGCAAAAAATAACTATACTTGCAAAAAGTGAAACCACATGATTGTGTTAGCTATATGACAATATACAAACTCTAGGTCAGTAATTTTCAGAATATTAGAACATTTTGATGTTCAAATATGTAGCACTAAACAACAAGTATTACTTCTCAGATTTCTAAAAATAACTCTGTAGAGTTATCAAATTCATTAAATATAACTTGGAAAAAAGGAAGCGGAATTTTCTTGGAGGAATACCACAGTATAACATTTTCTACGATACTGTACCTTCTTTATTAGTCAATGAGCCAGCTGGCTAACTAGCTTTTCAGAAAATCTTATCTCCCTTGCCAAACAAAAGAAAAGCAGGCAACCAAGCCCTTGCAGCCCCCAAAATGTCTTTATGTGTTAATTAAACTCTTGGAAAAATAGTTATTTTTTAAATTACGATATATTGGCATTTAGTAATGCATACACACAATATAGTAATTTAGATTTCAGTATCCATTACTTAATTGTCATCTTCATATTTTCCAAAATCATGGAGAGCCTGAAATGTAGAGGATGATATGAAAAGGACATTTGGTACAGTCTTCAGCTACTGAAAATAACACTTTACCTGTATTAACAAGCGCGCTGCTGTTGTAGAGAGTACCAAGATGTGGTCCAGACAGAGACAGGAAGGTATGAAGTTTGTTGAGGTAATATTTAAATCGAGGTCTTGTGAGCACTGAACGGATTATTAAATTACCCAGCGAGTGTCCAATAAAGCTGTTTAAAAAGAAAAAACAGCATACAATAGCATTTGATGACTTTTTTTTTCTTTTAAACAGAGAAAAATAAAACTAGTGTCATAAAATGCTAAAAGAACATAGAAAAAACAATTAATGAAAAGTTTCCATTCAGAAGCCTGTATTCTAGGTCACATAGAAAATACTAACTTGTCCATATCTCCCAAGCTGTACATACTCATTACAAACATGTTCTGAGCAACTCCAGAATTATTTTATATATTATTTTTGAAACGCTAGTGAAAACAAACTATCCTTCTACCAGCATCTCCCACCCAAAACCACTTCTGGGTGTATTCCCCTCTGTACCAAGTATTCAAAAAATACTTTCTGAGCTGTGCATGACTGATTAAATCACTACTTTGGCATGTGATGGCATTCAATATGGTAAATGTGTGACGTTACCGAAACAACCTAGTGGAGAAATCTGACTATTTTAAAACAGAAGCAACATCTCAGACCTGCTTAGCAGCTGGACCAAAATAAGTGATTATGAGCCTAAGCGAGGCAATTGAAGAATATCTGTCTGCCAGGAGAATATTACATTTAGTTGTTTCCCTGGCTAAGCAAGTTAGAAGGGCTTCAAGTATCAAAGTTTAATTACTGCTTAAACTGAGGTGCCTACTGTCACATCCACAAATCTGTATAAACCATTTCTTTAGAAATTTCACTACAAAATAAAGCAATTCCAGTTATAAGGCAGTTAAGCTTACAGATCCCTGATGAGCAAAGGACCACACCATCCTAGGCACTGACTTAAAGAGGATACGGTAGAGACAAGGCTCAAAATTAGAAGGAAAAAATGCCTTCCTGTTTTACAAATATATTCTCAGGAAATGGAGAGAACAGACAACCATCCAAAAATATACAGCAGAACTATGATGGCTGGATCATCTATGTACCACAACATTATACCCACAAGATCATCCTTCCCATTTGCGCCGGATCACTACATTTGTCAACAAAAATATCTAAAACAAAGCTACCAGTAATATCCGTGTAAAGTAGTGCTAAAAAATTACTTGACTGTTTAATTGCTTTGCAAGGAAGAATTATTGACTCCGAAAATTCCAATTTCAAGCTAAATAAAAAAACCCCAAACATTAGGTCACAGAATGACAGGGCCACCCCTTAACTCCTAAACTCTGACATAATTATAAATTTCTATGACAGAACAGGCTATTTGTTCCTTAAGAATATACAGTTTAAGCATATATTTATATTCTTCCTGCTCGTTTGTACTACTAGGTTTTCAAAATTGCTGCAATATCAGAAATTCTTTGCTGCAGCTTGCTCTATTTGACTAACAGGTTTAGAAATGAAAAATACATAACCTCTGTGCTGTCAGCACAACAGCAGCGCATCTGCAAAACAAAATATCGAGCTGCAGAGTCTCTTGAATACTAAAATTTAAAACTATTCTCTCAGAGTACATCATAAAGTCCACACAAGAAAAACAAAACCATAGATTTCTTTAGGAACAAGAAAAGGTCCACAGAAATTGAGTTTATCTTGAAGATTATCTGCATGACGTAACTGCTCTTGAGGAAAAGAGATTATTTTGTAAAGAAGATCTGAACATTAACAGAGCTGTTCTCTTGACAGTTCTCTGACAGTTCATCCACTATTTACTAAACATGATAAAGAGATAAGAAACTCTTACATTGTACCATAACAAAGGACAAGTTCAATGCTGGAAAAAAATCCAGATAGCAATCCATCCATCAATGCTATCATCCTTCAAGAATATGGGGGATACTGAACCAAAACTTCAGAAATACCAAAGATCCATTTGAGGAAAAAAAAAAAGGTGCTTGGAACTAGCTATGTGAATGTATCTCAAAGATCAAACACTCGTTCTTAATTTGGAAAGACTTTAATAATAAAAGTCACAGCAATATACGATGTTCATTTTCAGATGTTTAGGTGAAGATGTAATAAGACTTTAACATTATTTTCTAACAGAAAATGGTTTAAGGATTTGCTCAAATCAAAAAGGTAGAAGGAGGAAAAGGAAAACCCTTCAAAAAGGGTTTTGAAGATGAAAACATACCCCAACCTACTCACTGCTTCAGATATTTGCGACTATGCTCTGCAAACCCAGTGCATTTCTGAACAGCAGGTGGCAATACTACCATCTTCTGAATACCAGCTATCATCAACTCAATTCACTGAAGGAATAGGATTATACTGCAGTATTTATACGAGCTTTATGGCACAAGTCTACCAATTCAGATCATACTGGAAAATTAGACACAGTAGAAACTCATTATTCTGTACTAACAAACAAAAAATCCTGTCCAACTACAAAAATTCATGAAAGATCAAAAAAAAAGGAAAATCCATTAAAAGCCATAATGAAAAACGTTCTGAAACAAAGAACAGATGTTTTAATATATGCAGAGCTTTAGTAATTGCGTTCTTTTCTTGTGAGTCAATATTCCTTAGGAAAGAGGATGAAAACGCGAATAATCCAACTAAAGTTAAAGTCCAATACAGGTCACTGGAAACTTATATAAGACCCGACATGAGGTAGATGGTTTCTGAAACCACACTGTAAGAGCATGTGGTTTACTTCCTGGCTATGTGAGGACCTGGAAGGGTTTCCATCCTCACAGATAGTCAAAACTTGAGGAGGGATGACTGAGCAACTTGACTGGCTTCAAAGCTGCATTAATTTGGAAGGTGGCAATGGTATGAGGCATAAAACTGCTTCAGCTGACCTCCAGGGGTCCCCTCAGGTATTCTGTGATTCTTCACCAAATAGTTGTTTTATAAGACAAATTGCTGTTGGCTGGAATCAAGCTTCTAGATCATGCTTGCTACACACCTGTACTGAGCACAAAGATGCTGTTCAGAGGAGATTAACACACATGCTGGGTTGTACACTGGTGCAGCAACTGGTATTAGCTTCAGCAGTACCAAAACCAGTGGTTTCCCAAAGTTGACACAACAGTCCTGATGGTACAGGGAGTGCCTCTTATCTCAGTACAAGAATGTAGCACAATAAACAGAATTTTGTCATTACTTGAAGGCATGAGGCGTTGCACTGACCCGGTAGCACAGATTCTCAGAAATTCTCTTGACTTCTCTTGGCCTGAGCTGGTTTTAGCTTGTTTTGTGACAATCGTCTAGCAGTGAAGTAACAAACCAGGCCTAAAGTTGCTTTAGTTTCACTGTAGTTTCTATTAATAACAAGCAGTTATTCTGTGTGGCTTGAAGAGTGTCTCTCTAGAGTAAAGTCTGGTGTGGAAGAGTTCAGACATATCATATGCCAGAGGTCCCCAATGGTCCATTAATGGTCACTGCAGAAGCACAATCTTAAAACTCAGGAAAGAAAGCCAGTGCCAACATTAGGGATAACAGAGAACAGAGGGGGAAAAAAATACTAAAGAAAAAGAGTAAATGGGAAAGAAAAGAAAGAGCATGTGGGCAGACTGAAAATGTTAAAAGTACAAAAATAAATCCAGGCAGACTCAAGGCCAAGGAGACAGAAACCATCACTGTGAACCTATTCTCCTGACACTGAAGCCCCAGGATGCTAATGTCCCACTGCTTAAGGAAGACAGAAACCACTAATCTTAGGACTCAGTCAGCTGCTGGAAGTGGAGCCCACCACCTGAGATAAACTATTAGAGATTTTCAGTGTAACAACTTTAGCCATACAGGATGTTTCTGCATTAATCTGGTCTATGAATTTTAGTAGTACCGTAACTAGACTAATGGGGGTTTTTTTCTGCATTTTTTATGAGATTATTAAAACACTAGTTGAACAAACACTAAGTTCTTAGCTCTATATATGAAGTATGTTCCCTTGGGCACATATGAGTGTAAAAGAGAAACAGGTATTTCTGATACACAGTATTGTTGGACTTTTTGCCATACAAAACCATTATAAGTCTGGAGACCGATTTCTAATTTGACTCTGTTATAGAGCAGCACTTGTACAGAGAACTCCTCCTTTAGCAGAGGAGGAGGAGGAGAAACTAGCATAATTTAGGGGAGTACGGCTAATGAGCACGAAGTCTACTTTCTTTCCAGTGGGACAGCCAAAAATGAGGTGGGAACACGTTGGTTACTTAAACAGGATTTCTCAATAGTACTTTGCCGGGCTTTCTGGGTTATCCCTTCAAGGACGTGCACATAAGCACATCTCCCTTCTGAACGCTCTCTCACGTAGCTACCAGGAAACAGCTGCGGGATTTACTAATAGGTTTAACTTTCTCAAGATAAGCTGAAGTTGAGAAATGAAGACTTCTGCTTTGGCAGGGCCAAAGGCAAGTACCCACCTTGAAAAGGAAACTCAAATATAAATTGATAGCTTATTTTTTCTTTCAAGTGACAAGTAATAAATAAAACTGAAAAAAATATTTACAACTGGAAGTCTTACGAGCGAAGCAAACCAGAAGCAAACGAGATTTCAATTCTCAGCTACAAACGAGAAGGTAACTGGGTGGGTTTGCTGATTACAGCTTTCAGACCACAGCACGGGAGAGAAGACAGCAGCGTGTGCTGGGGGGTTACAGAACTCTCCTCTCCCATACTGAGGGTACTAGCATGCAGTCTGTGTAACGCAAATACGATCATGCAGTGCTGCTTTATTTAAAATCCTCAATTTAGACAAAGTCAACCATGCCAAATCTTGCCTATCTCAAAATAGGAACATTTGTTTAAAAAGGGAGATAATGTTGAAACATGTGAGGTGTTTAGCTGAATAAGGCCTACCTAGCACACAAGTATGCAGGAACTTGTAGGAAATGCATGTTACTAGCAAGTTAAAAAAAGCTTTCAGATGTACTATATGCAAGGATACCTAAACAAATGGATGAAGTCAGGCTTGAATTTGCTTCTTTCATCTATCAGTGAGCTAACTCCACCAACACAGCTGTGTTAGTAAGTTCATCTCTCTGCCCAAATGGTTTACCCTGCTCTGAGAAAATAAATGGAACAGGTATTCCCTGGAAGTAACTGAAAGAAGAAACAGGAATTCACAGACTGAGGTGAGCCTTCTATTAAGATGTAAACCATGTTTTTTAGAAGATGAAACAATCTGAAAACACCAAAATGATGAAATGTTTTTTTCTATGCAGCTGCCCTTCAAGATCACAGATAACACAGAATTTTCCTGTAGGAATGACAAGATAGACAGTTTGCAATGTTGCACCTGGTGAAGAGAGTATAAATCACAAGAAAGCTAACTTTATCTTGACATAGCGCTATTACAGTTTCCTTTGACTTTCTCAAAATATTATCTATTTTTCTGCAGAACCCTATCGTGCAGGATCTGAGCAAGCACAGGACAGCAGTTCCTTTTAATGCATAACTCTCCCCTAAACCCATCAACAGGACTAGGTGAATTTAGAGCACTGTCCAGTCTTCTTTCAGCCAGCAATTCCCTCTCATTCATTCGTCCTCCTTTCCCCTACTCCTCCCCCTCCCTGAACTTCTCCTTCCCATCTCTCCTTTGCCTGCTCTGGAGCATCAGAGTTCATAACAATACAGGGCTCTAGTTTTATTTCTATAAATAGTATAGAACAGGTATTACCTGATTTTTGAAAGGGTTAGATTATAAATTTGTATATACTGTATAATTTCATCTAAAAGGCGATCTGTCATGGAATCAAAATCAGCAAAGGTATCATTCTGTAAAATAAAAGAAATAAAAAATAATAACTGTATTTTCTAATGCAGCAATATACATTCTGCATTCAGTCTGAATTCTTATTCCCCAGTGTTTTGATCAACAGCACACAAATAAAAGCATCTATATTAACTTTGAATACAAACACTACAGCTAGTTATCATCATTTTTTCAAGTTTTTTTCTTGTAACATGGAATAAAGCGATACACATTTTACTGTAAGACTACTTTCTTCTAACACACCAAAACAAATCTTAACATTACACAGCCAGCCTTACTTCTAAGCCTTCCCCTACACATAATCTTATCTGTAGAGAAACAGAAGACCCAACTGCACATTCAGAACTAAATCACGTTGCCCGTGAAATAGAAATGATACAATTAACTGCAGCAGCAGGAAGAGTCTACACTAGTAGTGTTTATTCAAAACAAGCCAAACCAAATCCTTAAAGCCTTATTCCCAGTTGACAGCTGATTCTATACAATGACTGGCAGCAAGAAATTTAAAAAGAGGTAGGCAAAGGCTGCCTAAAACTTTTCAACACAAGTTGCAAAGGTTCTTTGCTAAAATCTGTAGTACTCAACATATTGATAAATGATTTGGGAAAGGGAAGAAGGGGGTGAGATGTCAGAGTTTGTAGACAAAACCAAATATCCAGGATAGTCAAATCCAGAACAGAATTTCAAAAGAATCTTATAAAGTACAGCATTGCCCAGGTGATAAAACGGCAAGAAATGCCAAAGATACACAGTAAAAACCAGTCCTAAACATATATGAAACCAATAATCTATACATCTGTGTTCTATACAGTCAGCTGTGTTAAGAAAGCAAGGAAAGAACAGAAAATATTAATATTGCATTTTGTAAGTCCACAGTGCACAAGCTTCTTCAATGCCCTGCCTAGTTTTGACCATCCTAATTGAAATGACAAGAAGTTTGAAAGTGGGCAGGGAAGGCCATCATGGACAACCAGAAACTGTTTCACATGTGATCTTGAGAAATACTGAATGGACAAAGACTCTTCAGTTGCCTCCTAAGGGAGAAATTATACTTCTTTATAAAATATTTAATTAACTGAAGTGGAAAATGGAAAATGATTATCGACTTTCTTTTCTTCCCACTCCTAAAAAAACAAGTTATAGGGGGATTTGTTTTAGTTCTCTTGTTTGCAACTGAATTAGTAACGTATATGAACCAGAGAATTAATCTCAACTGTATGCTATGGAAAATGGAAGTATAAACACTCAAAAAGAATCAGCCAATATTAAGGAGAGAAGTCCGTCAGCAGCTATTAGGCTTAGCGGTCTCAGTGGAATTCCCAAATCAGAAAGTTTCGGAAACGCTCACTGCCAAAATCTCCAGGGCTAGAGAATAGAATGTACGGTTTGGTACCTGTCCAGCCTGTTCTGAGAAGCATCCTAGCAGTTATTGCTAGAAAAATGCTACTGCACTAACTGAACCTTTCGTCTGAGCCACTGAAGAGACTCTTGGCTCTAATTCATCCCTGAAGTAGGCCTAGTACAACATACACCACGTAAAAAAAAAAAAAAAAGCCAAAAATTGGTCTTCTGTGCTTTGTCAAGTTTACTTCATCTGAAAATTCACCAAAGTTTAACACGAGAGGTAATTTGACATCGGTTTAGCGTCACATGTGTTTTGTCTTTTTAGGGGCCGGTTAGCTCAGTAGGGGCTGGTTAGCTCAGTCAGAGCGTGGTGCTGGTAACACCAAGGTCGCAGGCTGGATCCCTGTTCGGTCCCCATGTGTTGCCTGATCTAGTTGAGAGGCGTCCCTGCCCATGACAAGAGAGGCTGGATTAAACGATCTCTAAGGTTCCTTCCAGCCTAGGCCATTCTATGACTCTATGATGTGGATCTTACAGTACACCTGACAAAAGGACGAGAGATGGGTATTGTGTATTTCTCGGATCCTGTGAAACAACATATCCCCCTTCCTGCCACACCGGTTCTCACTATCATCATTTTTATCATTAATACTGAGGCTATTCTATCTACAATTCTAGCTGACTATGCCGAGAACGTGAGAGATATAAGCACACACAACAAAGTGGCAGCAACAAATGTTACTCCTGATATATTTACCTTCGATATCACACTAGGTTTTGTAATTACTTTAACATGAGCCACAGATCAAATAATGGATTCTGGGACAAGAAGAAAATTATACAGAACGTGGTAAACTGAAACACGGTAGTGCCGTTAAATAAACATGTCTGAAGACGTACACTGTTTATTGCTTTACAAAAATCATTTTTTTTTGTTGGCAAATACCTGATTCCTTTCGGACATAAGAAAATCTATTCTCCCTCCAGGCAGGCCTAGCTCAATGTACGTCTTCACTAATCTTAGATCTGCGCTGTTACCTTAAAAGGAAAACCAATCAAGAGTTAGATACCGCAAAGTTAACTTACAATAAAAGCACTTAGAATACTGAAATGAACCTACGGCACAAGTTTATATTTAAACACAGCTAATGATATTCTCAGCCCTAATTAAAATTCAGTAAGACTCTGGAAGATAAACTGCAGAGCCAAATACAGTGACAAAATGGTCTATAAAAATGACATTCAATGCAGACGTCGTTTTTAAAAAAAGCAAGGATTTAGGAAGTCATGTTTGATTTTGTCTTAGCATCCAACAGATACACAGCACTGTGAACATCACATCCTAATAACACCACATTCTAATTAATTTTGATAAAAGTCAATTAAAGAACTCAGAGTTACGTTAAAGAAGAAGCAAGGAATAAGAGCAAGCCGTAAACATTTTCACGGAATAAAAAGGCAGAGCCGACTATTAGCAGATCATTTAGACTGGTACCCAGGCAATAAATGCTACTTTAACTTGCAACCTGAAGACTTGTCTACATCAATGATCCTGTAAGCTTTTGAAGAGAGAAGTACCCTTTATGCCTTAATTAGTGAAGAAGATTTTTATTTTAAATTTTTATTAATAGGAAAGAACTTGTATGAACTTGACATTTCCTAAGAAAAGTCTAACTATAGGGACTTTTCTAAGGCTTCAAAGACACGGGTTTTTAGCAACAGTTTGTTTTGGCCAAGGTAACATCTGTGTCAATTCTAAGTAGGCAAGAGCACTTGAACCTCTATGTTAGTAAGAAGGAACACTTCTGAGATCCGTCTTAAAAGCGCTTACAAAAAGCTTCCTCTGCACAGAGGAAGAAAGAAAAGCTGTTTTGTTATTTCTTTTTAAATCAAGAATTTGAAAAATTAACACGGCTGTGCAGTGTTGGTTCAGTCCAATATCCTACACTACTACCCTCTTGTGTTTCCTTACATTGTTAATTTAAGAAGCTTCTCAAAAAAAACACAACAAAAACCCCAAAATCATTGATGGCAGAAAGCTGTGAATACCTTGACTAGAGGGGATACTATTTTTTAACACACATGTATACTCTGAATTAAAATCAGGTGAATACATTCAAGCTGTTTAAACTTTCCAAACCTCTCCAATTGCAAGAGATTTTCTCATTCCTAGTACAGTAGAGTCTCTGTCTTCGGAATATTCAAAAACTCAACTGCGTTTGGGTCCTGGGCAACCTACTGTAGGTGACCCTGCTTTGAGCAGGGGAGTTAGACCAGACAATCTGCAGAGATCCTTTCCAACCTCAGCCATTCTGTGATTCAGTGATCCAACCTCTTAAAATCTTATAAACACTTGAACGCACTTTGCACACTCTATATTTTTCTTAGCAAGATACACGTTTTAGTAACATAACTGTTTTGTTAGCAACTCCATTCTATTACCACAATATGGACAAATATCTGCAAGACTTAAAACACTCAGCTTCTATGTATCTAAATGTGAACTACACCATAAAACAGATCTATGTGCGTGGAAATTTTATTCAAGATAAATGTTGCATAAAATTCTTCCCTTAAACAACCCTATGGAACACACTGACAAACGTAGCCATACAATGTCAGATTCTCACTTCCCTCCAGTGAATCTATTAGAGAAGCATTCAGCTCAGAGTTCAAATGACAAAAGCTAAACCTGACCGGTAATCTAAACTGCTATCTCACTCAGTATCACATTTCCTGCGTACCATCCAGGCCATGGACGCAGACTATGAGATGTATTCCTTCTTCTGAACAGTCATCCTCTTCCATACTGAAATAAGGTATTGAAGAAGCCAGTTTGAAAACATCACTATACATAAAACCAGGAAGTTTAAGTTGCTTCAGTTCTTCTTTAGCCTGTAGGAAACTGCAATGAAAGCACATAGTTATGATAAAACAACATTTACTATTGCCAGACAAACACGGGATCTCCTAGGATACAGCTTTCTACTGTCTTTTTACTTTGTCTTCGTAACTGATATGAAGGAAAACGCTTTTATCAAGCTCCTCAAAATATTTTTATTGCGGCTTCCTACAGCTTCCTTTTCCTCTGCAACAAAATCCCAAGCTCTCCACACCTCTCTCCTTTGAACATCTCTGCAAACTCTGAAGTATTTCTGAAACCACTGAAAATTCTGGATTAGTTCTGGTCTTGAGCAAGCAAGAGTTTTGTTTAAATGCAGTAACAAAATCAGATGAATCATCAGATGTCAAGGTAAAGATTCCCACTGACTTTTCTCGCCAAACTTAAAACCTATTTCCTAGGTCACAGGGAGCTGGACTCAGTGCTGTAATCGCTCACCAAAAAGTCCCTCTGGTAGGCTTAATTCCCGATACTTGACTCAGAAGAACCCAGATCCACACCTCTGATCTTCTATGTATTATATAAAGGCATATACTATACGGTTTTTAATAGCTGAGCTCCCCACATGCTTTCATTTCTCCCTTTCTTCTCCTTCCCTTAGTTTTTGTGTATGACCTTCCCACCTAAATAATTGCCTATCGGATTCCCTGCAGCACTTCAAGCTTTTTGCTTCCTTCTGCTTCCTTCCTTCCTTAATCCATCGGTTCCGCACGCTCCCTCACAGCACCACGCCATCGCCCGCCCTCTTTCACTTGCTCCCTTTCCACTCTGTTCTCTGTTTTCCAAGCTTTATCTTCAGCTCATTCCTCGCTACCTGGCAAGAGCAAGCTTCACCGAAGTCAGCCTAAACAGAAACCACTGCAGACAGTCGGTCTTATCACTCCACAGCAGAAATTACTTAGTTTGTACTCAAGGCATGCTTTCTGAACCAAATGTACCGAGATTCATTCTCTGTGGAGCAGATCATGCCCTCTGGAATCTCAGCTAACCCACGTTCTGGAAGCCTCTGCTTTTCCCAAGGCCAAAGTCCTCAATTTTACTTTTGAGTTCCCTCTTTCCTCTACTGTTAAAGAACATCTTAAAAATAGCCTCTGCTTTTCATCCCTCCCATTCCACACCAGTACCCAGTATTCCAGAAGCTGCTCTTCTGTCCACTTCTAACCTGTTTTCCTTCACCACTGTGCAATCGCTCCTCCTGTTCTCAGTTGCCTACCACAGACCATCTGGTCTCTTATCTCTTCTGCCTGCTCAGCATTCACCTTGCTTCTACCTCTCTTCTCAGCTTTCTTTTTTCTGACAGCAACATTTTGCTTCCAACACAAGGCATTAAGCTGCTGCTCTCTGTCTGGTTAGCAGCAGGGGGTTATCAGGGAAACTCCTCTATTTACAGCAAGAGGAGGAGCAATATGGGATCCTTGATATTTCTCCATGTTTGGCTTTCCTGGTATCCAAATCATAACGTAATTTAGAGCACTATGGTCTCCAAGCAGTTACATTTTGGATGTTTGAAGTTAAAATTGAAAAATAAGGCCATCGCCTTGGCTTGCGTTGCACATTTGCTTCACTTAACTAATTAGGTGGGCAACTAGTTTACAGAATGTTTTGGGGTTTATGTTTTTAAACTCAAAACATCTTGCTATTTTAACAGCTATCTTATAAACACCATTTATATACTCAGTAACCATTCTATATATCGCTTTTCAGCCAAATTATTATTTTTTAAAAGTAACGTATTACAGAAAAAAACCTGTGTTTTTCTTGAAGTTTGTCAAACCACATGAAATTACAAGATATTGATAGAAGGAATTACGTGCCTTACAGACTTTCTAGCTGAACATGTAAAACGTGATGCTACTTAAGCATGCAGAATCCACAAGCCACAGTCCTAGAGGCACTCTAGAGCCTAACTGTGCTTCTTTTCCCCTTCTATACTGCGGTAACACAATTTCTAAAAGTAAAAAATTTTGTTTTAAAACAATCACTTACGCTAACATTTGAGGTTTTGGGGAGCTTTCATACCAGGAAACAGATGAAGCTGAGCTGTAGGATGTGCTGCCTGGCTGTTGTGTAATTGCATCAGATTTATTCCTTGAAGAGCAGATAACACTGCAAGGAGAGTCTATCAGAGAAGAGGGAAAAGACAGACAACCAGGAGTACAGACAGGAGGCACGGTCATTCCATCTCGCAGATGCCCACTATCAATCCTTTCAGATCTCAGGGTTCTCTCTTCCGCTGAGCCGTGATCCTGATCAGCACTGGAAGCTCCATCTAATATACTATAGTCCGTTTCTTCATAATACCCGTTTTCAATCATTTCTTGATCATCCTCCTCTTCCTCGTCTTGTTGGGAAGAACAAATAAGTTCTTTCTCGTATGTCTCCTTTTGAGGGCTAACAGGATTGCTGTTGTCCATAGGCCAAATATCTGAAATATCGGTGCTGCTTCGAGAGCCAAAATAGTTTTCAACAAGCCCTTGCTTTACCAAGTCAGTACTACTGGTTGGAGAAGGATTATCTGTACCAGCTTCACTTTTAGCTACCGGTAGTTCTTCAGGTGGCTCCTTCAGTTCTAAAGGCTTGTTATATTTTCCTTCATTTGTTTTTTCGACCCCACACACCACATTTACAGATGAAGAATCTGACGCAACAGATGGTTCACTCATGCAAGCAATTTCTAAACGTAATTTAACTGTTTCTTTTCTAGTGTTAAGACGCCCTTTGTGGTCCTGAGAGCCCTTGCAGGTTGTGCCAACATCTGCCTGTGTGCTGCAACTTTTCACATCAGCGGACGTATCCTCATCTGAAACAACTAAGTGTAAAAGATCTTTTGTTCCTGAGAGCGAGGAATGTATAGACAGAGTTTTGTTATCCAAGTGCTCTGAAAATACAACACACTGTTGCGGAAAATTGGTGTTTGATTTTTGACTGTCATCGCATTTTGGCAAGTCAATTGCTCCAAGATCCAGCACCGTTTTACTGTCAGTTAACTGGCTTTCAGGTACAATAGATATCTTTGAATTCTCATCAGGTGACAGCTCATCATCATCTGAAGGGAGAGAATTTATAGATGTCAGGGATGACTGTATTTCACTTACAGCGCTGGTACTCTCAGTGCAATGGCTCTCTATTGCGTTTTTTACAGCACAGTCCGGTTTTAGTAAAAGCTGAGGAAATGCTCTCTCACCATTGTATGTATTTTGCCCTTGAACATTTTCAAAAACCTGATCAGGGATGGGGTGAGTTGCAAAAGAACTCGGTTCACTTTCTACACCTGAATCTGAAAACCTAGAAGAGGCATATGTCATGCTAACATCTGGTAATTTAGTCACGTCTCCACTTGCAGAAAGTTGACTTTCTTTCGTGGAAGGAGTAGGCTGGTTACTTTTCATTTTTGTCAGGATGTCAGCAGTATGTTGCAAGCTTCTTTCAAGGACATCTTCCTTTTCAAGCACTGGTTCCTGTTCTCCTGAATTCAGTTTATTTCCAGATTCCGAAGACTGAATACTGGGTATCTGCAAATTCTCTCCTTGCACTCCATCTTGCGGAAACTCAGCCCACGATCCAATGTGAACAGTCACTTTCTCCCCTTCATAGGGATTCTTATTACTTGGTTTGACCTCAATTGTCCTGACTCCCGAGGAAGCTGGTTGACCTCCATGACAACTTTCAAGTGTACCTCTGGGCTGCAGAGCACTATCTGCTTGTATAGTTCCAGAACCTGTCTGGGAGATACTAAGTCTACCAAAACCAGCCACATTTTCACAGTGCACAGGGCTACCTGGACCTGGTTGGACACCTTCAATCTTGGCAGTCTTTTCCTCAGTTCCAGATGGCAAAAATGGAAGTTCTCTTTGACTTATTTGCCTGGCGCAGGTCTTCGTATCACAAGGAAATGCACCTAATAACGTAGGGTCCAGCCCTTCGTTAGCATTGTATGAAGGCCTGCCTTCCGAGCTCCTAGAGGCATCTTCCAGTGCTGAACTTTTCAAACATTTGTAGCCTACTAAGACCACTGAGTCCTTAGAGTTCTGTTTCACAACTTTTTTCGTGTTTTCGGGTTTCATTGTTTTCATGAGCTTAGTAACCTTAACTTTGGATTTATTTGCATCTTCATTTTTCCCTTTCAAAGTTTTTGTTACTGTCTTTTCACTTTCTGAGTGCCAAAGGTTGGAGGCACCTGCAGGTCTTATTTTCAAGTCCGGGCTAGTAAAACCGGCTACAAAACCTTCTTCAGCTTCCAATTTATCCAGTTTATTGGACTCTGACTTTGGAAGACTCTGAACTACCAACCAGGGTACATCCAGATCTTTCACCAAAAAAATAAGAAAAAGGATTGTTTACAACAAGATTAGGCAAGTAACTGAAGCTACAAACCACTAATAATTATAGAACTTTAAACATTCCCAAAATTCAAAGTAAAGAAACACTTCCTAGCAAATAGAGGTATTTAAGCCAGAAAGAAATGTGAAGAAAAATACTCAGATGTTAGGTCACTTTTTTCCTCACTTCTTCAAAAAGAAAACTGCACTGTGAGGTGTGATTACCTTCAGTAATTGAATCTAAATATCGATCTTCAAAGATTATAGGCAAGGAGTTCATATCTCCATCTAGTTCACTGCATTCAATAGGGAGGGGTGGAAGAGAACTGCAGAAGGAAGTGTTTTTGATAGCTGCACACATTTGCAGATGACTCTGAGCACTGAAAAAAAGGAAGTAGCCCTACATGAAAATAGAGCTATTTATTTTTACATTGACAGAAATTAGCAGTAATTTAATTCATTTTAGTAGAAGCTTTTCTACTAATTAGCTATTTAATACCTTTAACAATTATTTAATAACTTCTTATATAATTTCCATTAGAAAACTCAAATCTATATTTAGAACATAAGTTTCTCTTGAACTTGTCATGGAAGTATTTTTGCAAGACAGTACTTCCACACAACATAAAATACAGAATAACAGATTAACATTTAGTGCACTAAATGCTACATACCACACACTTCGAAAGCTACTTACTGTAGTTCTTGATAGGCAAGGGCAGCTTGCCTAGGATGCTCAAGACAAAAGAATGCTTCTGCAAATCTACGCACCTGCAAGATTCAAATAAAGTTTACTTTATTTTGTATTACTTAAAATTTTTGAAAATTCACCACTATTCCTACACGGCAATTTTATTAACTTGTATTGCTTTTTACAATATGTTCAATGTGAGCGGGAGGGAAGAAGATGCCATAGACAAGACTAGTGACTGAAATGAGAATTTTAATTTGTGCATTGGATGACTGAGGGGAATTATTTTAGATTCAATTGTCTGCTGAAAACTTGATCACCAAGAAATCAATCAATCATCCAAACAAGGCTCACACGAAACTGTAATATAAAAAAAACCACTAGGAGAAATTTCACTAATAATAAAGGAAATGACTGTTTGATGGACACTTCTGAAGATGGAGAATTACCTTCAGAAGGAGAAACCCATTAAATACTCTGCAATCTCAAAATACAGAGAAGTACATGTTTCAAACTTCCCATGAATACTGTAGCCCACAGTAAACTACTGTGCAAAAAACCCCTAATCTTTTGTTTGAAAAGATTTTGGCTGCAAATGACAAAGATAGAAACAAAATGTAGGCTAATTACAAGCAATTTATTCAAGACTTAACCATAGAATCATAGAATGTTCAGAGTTGGAAGGGACCTCTAGAGATCATCTAGTCCAATCCCCTGCCAGAGCAGGATCCCCTAGGGCAGCCACACAGGAACATGTCCAGGCAGGTTTTGAAAGTCTCCAGAGAAGGAGCTCCAACACCCTTATCGTAAAGAAATTTTTCCTCATGTTGAGGTGGAACTTCCTATGTTCTAACTTAAATCCATTATTTCCTGTTCGATTGCTGGGCACCACTGAGAAGAGATTGTCACCTTCCTCTTGACATTCATCCCTCAGATATTTCTATACGTTAATAAAGTCCCCTCTCAGCCGTCTCCTTTCAAGGCTGAACAGCCCCAGTTCTCTCAGTCTCTCTTCACAGGAGAGATGTTCAAGTCCCTTAATCATCCTCATAGCTCTCTGTTGCACTCTCTCCAGTAGATCCTTGTCTCTCTTGAATTGGGGGAGCCCAAAATTGGACACAGTATTCCAGGTGTGGTCTCACCTGGGCAGAGGGGGAGGAGAACTTCCCTAGACCTTCTGGACACACTTTTCTTAATGCACCCCAGGATCCCCTTGGCCCTCTTGGCTTAATGGTACGCCTGAAGTATGGGAAGTATAGCTTTTTGTCATCATGTACATAGTGTGAAAACACACAGTGTGAATTATACAGCAATTTACTACAAATAAAAACATCATGAATGTATTGAAAATGCAGTATCTAGAAACCCTAAACTTAAGTTTTTGCAAGATGAGACTTCTCACATTTGCATTATTATACAAAATACTAATTCAATCTACATTTATTTTTTAACTTGTTTTTGCAGCTGCCCAATTGCCTGCATAAAAAGAAAGCAATTCAGTACAGTATGACAGTATCTTGTTTGTTGTAGCAAGATATACAGAAAAGAGAACGTGCTGTACAGGGGCCGGTAGCAACTGCTTGGGCATTACCTTGGGCATAAACATCAATATGTTTATATCAATTAAAACCAAATTTCCACACCAGTTAGAGAACTGCACACATAAGTAGTCTAGTTAATCAATCATTTCTTTACCAACCACTTGTCAGCCCTCTACTCCTTTGATTTCTTCAATATACTTCGAGTCTTCCCCTGAAGTTATCTTATTGCCCCAAAAGCCGGTGAGAGTTGGCAGTGTGCCTGGTGGAGCAGGCGTCGGACCTAGCTCAGTTCCCTCAGCTCTCCCACTGCACTCGGAGCTGCCACCAGCATCCACGTCTGCCCAGAACACAGACACAGCACCGCGAAAATCCTGTGCATTAAGTGGAAACCTCAGACGTTCAGGACCACATTAACTTTTGTTCAAAATTAAGCACTTGTAGAGGAGTTAGTTTTGCCTCCTGATACACTGCCCACTATGCTTTCAGACAGTACTGTCTGGATGAAGTTTCATGTTCTGTAACTTCTATTTTTCTCCTCTTTTTTCCTTTTAATACAAGAGAAACTGCAAAAAAATTGCTCCAAGGTGCTCAAGAAAAATTCCCAACCCCAAACCACAAACATTAAATCCTCAACCTGTAACCTGCACTAGAAGCTGAAAGTCCTGTCCCAGTTTCCCAAAATTCAGTTTACTATATTACATGAAATTTACCTCAGTCATAAGGCAATCTATGAACCGTCAGGGAAAATGTTTTGAGGTAAAAAGAAAACACTCAGTCCAGTATTTTCTTGTAAACGTAACTTCCCGTCTCAGCAGTGTCCAGACAGGCACACAAAATAGCTGTCTGCTTTCCTTCAGAAGTTACATTAGGAGTTTATGTGTACGCAGGTGGGATTAGACTCAGTGTTCCTAAGTAATCCTCCACGTTTTCTCAGCTGACTTTTCTAAACAGGCACCTGCCTTCCAGATACATGGTTTTGTCAGAGTTAATCCTCAACTTTTCCCCCAGAAAGGGAGAAAATTTACACAACAGACTTAAGAGACAATTTTACAGGTTAAAAACATGATTTTAGAACACCTGATCATCAAGGGTTAAATTCTAAATTAAGCAATTTTAAACTGAATTAAAGATCCTACTCAATCAAGTAATAGGAAATAAAATAGTAACGAGAACATTGCCCAATTAGTAGATTTCTGTGTTTCAAGTCAATAAAAGTGCATAAAGCTCTTTCCCAGGAGGCAAGTAAGGCAGGTTTAACTTTATATGCAAGCTCTCACTTTACCACATAAAGAGTTATGTGGAGACCAGATCTTTAGAATTCTGCCACTCTCCCTTTGTTGTTTGCAATAAATCCTGGTCGTAATTAAGTAATTCTAGTGCTTCTGAAGAAAATCTGATTACCAGCTCCAGACAGCTCTCGGCATAATAACAACAGTATAACACTAGGTGAAAGCAAGCTCCAAAACTCTATGCAAATCAGAATTAAGGAGAGGGAAAAAAACCCACAAAACCAACAGTAATTTATTATGTTTAATCAGTGCTTAACTTATGGAGGGATGAAGAAATTTGCTGGGACGCTGTTAAACAGGCTCTGCAGAACCAGTCAGTGCCAGTGACTCAGGCACGACCGACTCGGGCTGACTCAAGGACTTTGCAGGAGGAAATCACATCAACTTATACTCCCTGTATACTTCCCAAAATTATGGAGTTTATGGTCCTCCCACTGAAAACAGAATAGGAGGAAAAATCGGATGGGAAAACTCTTTGTTGAATATATAGCAAGGCCCTACACGTTTATGAGTAGTAGTCCGAGATCTTAGTTACCAGTTCTCGATTCTTAGGACTTATCAAACAAGTTATTTTGGAAGAGCATGTTCAGACCTACCAGAAGATGTCACTATGGAACAAAAAGGTGAACTAATTTAGTGTGAAAACTTTTTGTAATATGAAATAACATGCTCTAAGCAGTCTTTTTCAATAAAACACAGTTGTAAATCTTATCAGTGTAAAAATGTAGTCAATAGGTGTTCTAGTATACCTAAAATGTTACTGATTTTTTTATGCAGTGCTTAATTTTCAAAGTATTTAAAAATAGTTAAATATTTAAATACTTGAATAAACTAAGTAAAATTTTTTATAATTTTAAAAGCTTAAAATATATTGTTGCATTATAACCTTATTTTCTAACAACACTTCAGCAGAAATACCTGGTTTATAAGCATGTGTGCAAAGAGGTTGAAAGTCATTTGACCAAATACAGATGACAGGCATTTCTAAGTGATATTTTAACACACGTAACTGAACTGGCCACATTAACAACTCTCTGAAAGGGTTCATTTATCTTAGATTCCCAGGGAGAAATTTCCTACACTGGGTATAATCTGGAAATACTGCAAGATGCAAAGGGAGAATTAAGACATTTAGCATCCAATAGCAAACACATTGGAGTGTCGGATTCCAAACCAAAAAGGATTATTTAGAAGAACAGAATTTTGTATAGGACAAAAATCTTACTCCAGAGAGGACAGATATTGTATCAGGAAGAGAAGGGGTAGGTAATCTCTCAAATCTCAACCAAATTCAGTAACCAGAAAGCCCCACATAATTTGATATGTGCAGATAATGCCTCTAGTGAAATATTATCATTGTAGGTTCCCTAAAGAAGTTTATACAAACCCTCAGAATCTAATTTCTCAGGAGATTATCAATACAAATTACACATTGTTGTACTAAGCATGGCAAGACAGTAGCCAAAATCATCAACGAAACACCCTCTTAGAAAACTCGAGGCTCAAATTTACCATCTCTTTTTAACTGAAAGGTCAATGGAATTTACTAATTTCTGGCTTCCACTCTGCTGCCACATGGGAAGCCCAGAGGTGCTATGGGTTCTTACATATATTTTAACTCCATATATTTGCAAAGTATTTGAAAAAGCTCTTCACATCTTGAAGCAGAGAAAACAAGTGCCACATGTGCAAATCAGCATTTGTAAAATTAAGTAACACCACATTGATGGTTCCCTGTTTGCTTAACTACAACCTCCTTCTTGATACCATATTATTTGCCTCTTAAAGAGTCACCCTACTTCCTCTTTGCTTTTGGGCATTAAATAAAAAGGTAAGTTTAAGATTACCCACGTCCTGCACCTCCTTCTCAGTCTCTGATGTTTGGGTAGATAATGAAGGATACAGTAACTGTAGCCACAGTAACAGTCAGCCACTTGTCTCAAAAGTAAACTCAGCTTCTTCAGATTTAAGAAGGGTCATCTCTGAGCTCAACTTAGGAAAGTGTATTTATGCATAGTGAAAGATAACAAAAGAAGTGAGCAGGGAAAAATGCATGCACAAAATCTAATGATACTTTTTATTAAAAAATAAAGAAGGTAGGAAGGGAACTCCTATTCAAATTTTGTGCAAACTAGAAAGCATCACAGAAATACTCCTAATATGTGCAATATCTCGATTTGTGTAGTACAATTACCTGTTTTGATTTATATTCCCTAAAACAACTGCTGTAAAATTCAATCATCAAGGTTATTTGAGAGCTGGAGAGGATGATTTATATCACAGATTTTAAAAAGAATCATATTTAAGAAGCTAAATACATAATCATTAGCAGTATCTTTTCTTTCAGAACACTGCAGGAGTAAAAATAAAAATATTAATACTTCTTTTGATTTTATTAAATATATACTTGTACAAACACTAATATATGAGCAACTGCATGCAAGTGCAGGTTAAATGAAACAGCATTCTCATTTCAGACCTTCCATCAGTTAACTTGAAGGATCCAGAATTTATACAAAAAACACAGGTAAGTAAGATTCACAGATAGTTGGTAAAACGATCACGCTTTCCTCGCTAGCCCATCGAACAAATAAACCCTGCATTCTTTCTTACAGATTCTATTTATTCTCCAGAATAGGTCATTTCCACAATCATGAGTTTCTCATTAAGCAACACGTCAAGCCTGTACATATGACCACAGCCTAAATATCCCTCACAGGCTTCCCTCCAGACCCCAAACAGAAAGAGTTTTGGACAAGTGACAGAAATGCTGGTGAGACAAATCAAATCCTTGAGAACCAATGTCTTAAAAAGGAGTGGTTTTTTGATTGTGACTATTACAGAGCACTGGTTACACGTATTCCAATTAACCAGACCGTCCAACCAGCTCCCTGGAAGTGGTAACCTCTTAAAATAATCTCTTAAAATGACCTATTCTATAACTTGTGTGAGGTTAAATGCACAGATTGTGATGGGAGACAGTAAGGACACCAGACCAGCTGAAAATCAAGTTGTGTGTTTGACAAAATAGGGATGGTGGGTGTCATCGTTTATCTGGTTTTTAGGTTTCCTCAAATCCTTGGCCACAAATGACAGGAGGAAAAAAAGCGTATTTCTTAGAAGGTAAGGGTAACACTTTAATTCATACTTGAAAATATATCACTCTGGGAACCAGCATCGCTGCGGTTTTGCATGTAAAAGGCCCACAGCAACTGTATACACACACACGCCGATCAACTGTGCGTGAAGGTACTCACTATGTGTGTTTTTATACATACATGCCCATATTCACATGCCACATCATTTTCAATACATGCCTTCTTTTTTAACACCCCGCTTAAGACTTTTCAAAGCTTATGAACATTATCAATTCTTAATTCAGAAGTACACTCTGTTTTATGATGTAAGCAGGCAACCTAAACGCAGCAGGGAAGTAAAATGCAGGTCAGGCACTAGGCACAGCTCCTGCAGAAAAATACTTCCTTCTGCACAAACACATCTTATTCCACAGACTGCAATTTGCTTTCCGAACTGCACTTCTTATTCAAGAGCAATGAATTAATTGGTTCATAAAAATAAATAATGTATTTCATGCATTCTTTTCCCAGAATAAGTTCTAACAACATGATATAAATGCTAACAAATGCAATACAACAGCTCCCTTTATGATTTTAACTCCCCAAAACAAAACTAGAAGAAATTGGAACCTAGAGTCTCATATTTTGATACACATTTCAATAATGTGTTCCACATTTCAATAATGTGTTCCAGTAAGAGTATGAACATGTCAGAGTTCCTAAAGTCAGAGTCAATACTCACTCTTAATGTGTGATGCTCTTGTGCCAGCAATGCTGTGACCTCCTCTTGTAAGGTGATGACCTCCAGAAATTGCCCCCAGAGAGCCATCAGAAGTGAGCAAAGCTGTGCAAGATTCATATTTATAAGTTCTGCCAGTTCATCAGGATTTTCCATTTTCTGAAGTAAAAGAAAAATACTTGTATGATTAACAGAGTAGACCATAATGTACAGATAAGAATCAAAAAAGGGTACTTTATCTTAGTGAGATTTTTAATTTAAAAAGTAACTTTCAAATGAGAATTGTTCTAGTATCAGAACTGAATTAATCTGTTACAACACTATTTTATGTTGCTTTAAATATTATCCAGTTGTCTTTTAGAATTAAGACTCCTGACCTTACATTAAAGCAACAATTCCATTTACGGCAACAATAACTGAGTTGCAACTGTTGTATCTTCTAGCATGCAAAAATACAGTATGACTGAAAGGAACAGGAATCAGAACACAGAAAATCAATACTTGCTGTGTTAGTCCAACTTTGATACAATCATAGGAAGTTAATAAAGACATCTGCATTTCAGAATAGTCACGACTCACAAAAACACCTATACGGTGCTGTACTTCTCCATACACTTTAAGCATAATCAGAAAGCAGCGTTCTAGTACAGATTTCCTACAACCACACCACACCAAGACAAATTCAAGGCAAAGCAAGTTTTTCCTTCTTAACAAGGACAACAAGGGTGACAAAGCTGGTGAAGGGCCTGGAGAACAGACCTTGTGAGGAGCAATTGAGGAAGCTGGGTCTGTTCAGTTTGACAAAGAGGAGGCTGAGGGGGGATCTCATCATGCTCTACAATTACTTGAAAGGACATTGTAGAGAGGTTGGTGCTGGTCTCTTCTCACAGGTAATTAGGGACAGAACCAGGGGGAATGGTTGCAAGTTGCAACAGGGCAAGTTTAGACTGGACATTAGGAAGAAATTCTTCACGGAAAGCGTGGTCAGACACTGGAATAGACTGCCTAGGGAGGTGGTTGAGTCGCCATCCCTGGATGTGTTCAAGTGTCGCTTAGATGTGGTGTTAGGTGATATGGTTTAGGGGTGACCTTGTAGCGTAGGGTCAATGGTTGGACTTGATGATCCCAAGGGTCTTTTCCAACCTCAATTGTTCTATGATGCTATGATTGTAACAAGAGACAGTAATCCTGTGATATAGCCCTGTGTTAGTCAATTGCAGACCTGCCGTTTTAGAAGAAAAATAGACTTTTTGAGAAACTCACTACAGGCACATCAGGCACTGAGGTAAAGGGTTTAAAAAGTAAAGATAGTGAAGATGCAAATCTAGCAATACTAAAGAGCAAGCAGAAAAAATGATTGCAAATACTGAAACACCAACTTAGGAGGCAAGAGTGGAAGTAAGAGGAACTTTTGACAAGAACTGCACAAAAGAATAGAAAGAACAAAATGGAAAAAATACAAACATATTTAGCAAGCTAAGAGAGAAACCGAAGAATTCAAAGAATCTATGTAAATGCAAAAAACCCTTTCAACACACAAAATAAATGAGTTGCCCATAGAGAGCTAATTCTGCGGGCTCTGTCTCCAGTTACAGAAATGCTATCCTCCGAAGGCCAGTACTGCAGATCCTTGCAGGTGCACTACTACTACAGCAAAGGCTACTGCTCCTCCAAAGCTGGGCACATGGCCCGCTCAGCTACAAAGCAAGGACAATCTTCAAAAGCAGTTTTAAAACCTCGCTATGACAAGGAAGTTTTAACTGTTCAGCTGGAGCTAGTTCTGACTAAGGAGAGCTGAGGAGACAATTCTAAGCAATCCGAAATGGACAGTGTTTCCTTGAGAGTGCAGGGAAACAGAAGGAGGAGACGGCATCAGGGTAAATCCTTCCAGACGAGGTGATGGCTTGGAGAATCTACTTTAGTACAACTCACTACTACTGCCCGATCTCCTGATGTTATTTGACACCATTCAAAACAAAGAATTCAAATTATAAATGCAGAAAATTCAATACGTGATTTTAACACAATTAATCCATCTTTCTATAATCTTCAGTTTCACAATACACAAAAGTTACCACCGGTAGTACTGACATGCGAAGCCACCAGATCAGTAGTTGAGTTTTGGAGTCAGTTGAGCAATCTCTCTTTGAATGAGGAAGAGTTGAAATAAGTATGGCAAAAAACCCACAGGATGTTATCACTGAAATCAAACAGTTTATTCCTAAGTAGCATATGAAATCAGCATACTCTACTTTTATAGTTATTTATTTAATATATGGGGAAAAAAATTACCTTTACTTCTTCACACAATTCTGTAAGACGAACTTCTACATCTATGTTTTCTGGAAAGATGAGAGGACACATCCTTGAAAAATGTACTTTCCAAGTTGCAGAGTAAAGTCAATTATCTCACAAAACAATTTTAAAACATGAAAAAGAACCCATCAAATAAAACCTGAAGCCATATTAGAGTGTCACAGTAAACTTTAAATCAATTAAATTATAAATTCTTCATAATTTCTGAGATTGAGGATAGAATAAGATTAATAATAAAAGTTTGCAAATGAGTATCATGATCACTTACCATGATACCTTATCAGGGATAACAATTTCCCATTCAAAATTATTATACTTGAAAATACTGTAATTTAAATGATACACTTTGCAGATTACCCACTGACAGCTGCTCAACTATTCAGCAGCAATGTCAGCGTTCACAATCAAGGTAATATGTTTTTTCTTTTACCTCAGATTTTCCAGAGATCTCTTTTCCAATAACATTTTTTATACAAGTATATCATTCATCTGATGTGAGTTACATGGATATACATGCAATTCTTTAATAGTCTGAAGAATTCTATTTTTCTCTAATTGAGAATTGTTCCCTAATTGATCTCTAATTGTTCTCTAATTGATCTTTCTCTCAATAGCTCAATGATAAGAGCAAATCAATCTTCCACAGTATGGCAGCTTAAACTCGATCTGCACCTTGAGTGATTTATTAATAAAGAAAATATATTTACTCCTTCACGGTTTTCCTTGTCATGGAAATAGACCATTCCTGGTCTATTTAAGGGAATTTGATGAATTAAATAATAGTTTGGTACTATGTTTTGACTTCCTTCTACATCTGAGGTAGTAGTAACAAAGGATCAATTTAGAAACCCTAAAATTCTCTGTAACAAGTATTTATATTTAAATTAATTTCTGAAACATAGTATTATGTAAAAACCTGCAGTGTTTCTTGAAAACACACACCAACAAAACATGCCTTAAATCTGCAATAATAAATTTAAGATACTGACAATGAACATAGGTTTACAGAACAGCAACAGTGTGTTTACTCAACTTATCTTCTAATTACATCACCTAAATTTGGTAAGTATATATTGATTTCCAGCTAACTCCATCCATTATACTTAGGTTTAAATTTAATGCCAAAAAAATTACCTCAGAACTCAAAGTTCTGAGAAAATATGCAAATCACAGAAATGCATGAAATTCTCAGAAAAAAAGGCTAGAAATGTTTTTGAAAGAGACTATATACACCTGTAGTAGCTAAATAGGACTTGATGACATTTATTCTGAAAATACATGAAAACAGTTTTAAGATATGATTCTACTTTTCATGTGTTTGTGGCCACACAACTTTTGTCATTTGTGAAAAAAATGGACTGTTTTCTCATGAGATACGAAACTGATTATTTCTCTTGTTTGTCAGACTGCAAATAAGAACAGGCTTTGAACAACACTTAAAACTCTGAGGTCTAAAATCACTGTGGAAAATCCCAAACTATAATGTTATATTAAAACCCAAGAGAGAATAAAGCTAATACAAGGCAAAAGGAAATGAAATACTAACATTCTACAGCAGTAATGTTCACCCAGCAAACATCTGATGCAATTTTGCTGGCTCTGCTAAAAAATAGTTTTGTTTTCTTTCTAAAATAAAATCAAACATAGTTATAGATGATTTAAGTTGGTGTCCCATTGTCCCCACTGTGAGACTGAACTGCCATTTTATTCTTATGTCACCACAAATTTCCTTGTGCTTAAAGAGCACTGTCATCTTTTGTGCCGCATCAGGCCAGCATCGACACTCTCCAAAGGGAGAAGTGGCCATTTAGATACAGACAAATGCATGTTCAGCTTTGAGAATGTCTTGTGAAGTGTTTGGAAGAATTAAACCTTAAGCTACCAGAAGCAATCTGAAAGATTTCTCAGGAAGATGAGGTATTAATCTTTAATTATCTAAAAAAATTGAGGATGCAATTAATTAAATGAAACTATAGTTATTAGCTATTTTATTTAGATGGTGATAACTAAGTTCTTCAGTTGCTTTTGTTTAGTGAAGTAGAACAACATTGAACTAAAAACCCAGTAATAATTTCTCATTTTATTATCTATATTCAGTCTAGAAACAAGTAGCTCAATTCTGCAGACTTCATCAGAGTTCAACATGGCTGAAGGGTGAAATAGTGCTCCTGTTCACAAAAGAACGTATTATTTTAAATTCTTAAGAATGGAGTAGTTTATATTATTAATCAAAAATCTGAGGGGTTATATCACCTGCTTTGAAAACATACCTAGGTAGGCGTCTCTCTGGGTGCGTGGATATTTTCTTCTGAGAAGGCGTTCATAAAGGACCTGCATGCTGGCCTTGGCTAGTTACAGGGATTGCACACACATGACTAGTTACTACACTCCTTTATCCATCTGTGATTTCTTACTTGCCTTAAAGTTAGTAAAAAAAGCTTATTGCTAGCCTAGCAATTAGTGCAGTTAGATCAGTACAGGAAAGCATATAATTTTAGTGTAGGTTCCCGATTAGATGTCACTCGTGATACACGTTAAGCTAGCAGTTGTTATTTCCTGCAACCAACACCACTTATATGTTCAATTACAGTAATCGAGTCCAGCAGTTGTCTGCACATGCTTCTGTAAAATCACTGTCTTATGTTAAAATTGTATGACAGAGGAATAGCAAAGCAAACAGAAGAAATACAATTAAGGAGATAATAATTTAATTTAAAACAAAAAAAGTGACAATTCTGGGATTTAAACAGGATTTGAGATTCTCTTCTGCAATGCCCATTTAAACTTCACGCATAGAATAACCACTATAAAATGGTTCGTTAACTTGAAAAATGAAAAATAAATGCAAATGACAATTGTGTAATTTGTGAACTCCAGAGAGCTTCAATTTCTTAAAAGACAGCACAGAAACACAGCTTTTTCTTTCTTTTTTTTACTGTTGATTGGGTTTTGAAAAAGTAGTATTAATGGTAGGCATTAGTTATTTTTCATGAGCAACAGGCAATATTAGCATAATTAATATTTACATTATTAGTCCTTTTTGTTATATCAATTGTCCCAATCACCATATACACAAAATAACTGAAATAAATGGGAAAAAAAAGATTTACAAATAAGAAAACAAAGTAATTCTAGCAGAGACTTAGAAAGTAACAAAAAAACCCTCCACGACACAGGAAACGAACTGTAGGCAGAAAAGGTACAATGGATGTTAAATGTAAGTAGTAATTTTCTCTTCATATATTTTGAGTATTTCTGTTCAAGCTTGCATTCCTAGAGGTAAGCTAAATTACCCAGAGAAATGACAAAAGGACTGATTCAAGTTCCACTGAAGCTTATGATTTTGGTGGCTTCATACAACCCAACCATGCAACTCAACGGCCGGGGCTTTTTTCTATTACCTATATTTTATGTAGGAATGTTTTAGGAGAATTGAAGGTCCTATCTGAAACATTTAAGTATCGAGATCAGTTAAGCCTATCCTTACAACAATAGTTGTTGTTTCCCAAATAGAAAAAGCACATTTTGTCCTTAAAAGGAAGACAGAGAGTTGAGTCATTCCTTTAATAGGGTGTTCCCCTCCATATCAAGATTAAGATAACTGACACAGAAATATTCTTTGCACCACAGCTGTAGCAGCATTTTTGCTTCTATAAAGAGAAAGCCTCAATTTCTGGTATTTTTCACTGCACAGATTCGTAACTCAGTTCTTTCTTCCCTCTAAAAAAAATTGGGTTTTGAAAAATGGCTTTGCATTTTGCAATATATAAGTGAAACATTCTTTGAATAGCTAATTGACCACATCATATTTTTAAAATATCTTACATATCTCAATTTCCAACCTTACAGTTTCATAATGCTTTCATAATTCATAGGTAACTGAGCCTGTCTAAAAAGTTACACTAAAATCGGACCTAGAAGCAATTTCTTCATGTAGGCCTTTTTTCAGATAAATCTCCATTGTAATATTCTTCTCAAATCAAAGCCTACAGAGTTCCACTTTTTATACAAATATGTAATGTTTCCTCTTAACAAACAAACAAGTGCAGCATTCCACTCGAGCTAAAAGTTTCTCTGACTTTCTCACCACTAAACACAATGATCTGAAATAACTGGACAAATTAAGAAAAAAAAAAAGTACCTGCATCAATTTTCATCTCCTCATCTTAATGGTAAAGTGACAGTACTGCTTTATTTTTATTTTTCTCTTGAGATACTAAAGCTCAGTTGGAGCAAAAAGATTTTAGACATACAAGGTGTACAAAACCAATGCTAGTTTAGTCTAGAAGAAGGGTATTCTTAATAAACATTGTCAGGAAAGTGATACATTTTATTAAATTCAACATACCCAGTTCAATTCGGTGGGAAGAGGGGAGCTCCTTGGCTATCATAAGAAAGTAACTGTGTAACCCTTTGAAAGCAAGAAGCAAACTGGCACAAAGCGTATAGTGGAAATTATAGGCATGGCTGAGGAAAGACTCTGAAACAACAAAACTGCAACCCTAAAAAAAAGAAAAGAAAAAATATGAGACACATACTAATTCTGTAAAATAAATGAAGCGTTAACAGGGTAACTAAAAAGATAGATAAGCAAATTGCCTCTTTTCAAAAATCTCATCCATATTTTTTCGATTTCCAAAGGATTGCATTAGATTAAAGAAGAAAGTTAAGTGCTTAATACCATAAGCTTTTCATCTGCCTGTCCCTGAAGCACGTAACACTGCCTTTTGCAAAAAAATTTCTCATTTTCCATATCACGTGGCACTCCAAAGTAACCCTAACAAAGCTTGTTCTTTATCAAGTAATATTGCTGCCCAAAGGATAAAATTCACGCTGCCCAATAAAATATAAACAGAATACTAAACTCATATATTCTTACATCTGCTGACAACTGTTTCGTGTAGTTATTGCCAAAGACCACGCTTTCAAGAGAAGGAATCACAGAGTCCCTGTTTTGTGCTGGTGCATTCCTGTTCAACCACGTATTCTTCACTGGGCGAGGAAAACTGCAAAAAGCACAGATCAACTATTAATTTTAACACGCTATGTGTCACAACACCATCATAGTTTAAACAAAATCCTGATCTTCCTTGACAAGTAGTAGAAACAAGGACCTACAGTAAGATCCTAGAAGTTCCTAGCATGGTGGGATGCCCTCTGAAAACCCCTCAGGATGGCCCAGATATCTCAGTCAGGTCTCTGGTGTCACAAGAGGGGAGCAGCGCTTCTGAAGTGGTTTTCTTCAAAGCACATCTCCAGCTAGTTGGAGAAACTGAAGAAATTTTTACCCTTGACTGTTTTGTTGCCATCTCTGACCATGAAGGTCAGCAAGCTCTGTGCCAGAGGCCTGTGGGAGCTCTTCCTCGTTATTTCCAATGGATATCTCAATTTCAACAATATTTCTGTAAGTTGAAACCATGGAGATAAATTTTGACCCACAACAGTAAGAAGCACTCATCTTCTGCCAACTTTGCTGTGGGGACTTTACCTCCTAAAAGTGAAGCAGCAGCGAGCAGCTGGAAAGCTGTCACAGAAACTGCCATCACTATTTTCCTAAGGAATGCCTGACCTCTGCCTGCTGAGGAGGAGAGCCCATCCCGAATCCCTGGGAGAACAGAGCATCCTGCAACAGTAGCCTTGTGAGAAAAAAGAACTAAGAAAAATGAAAGACGAACTAACACAGGAAGTGAGGACTTTCAGATAATGGGCAGATATAAGCGCTGACAGCTTCATAAAAAGAGCAGATTGTACAGGACTCCAGGGCTGTAACCAAGCGGAATTATCTCCTCTCTTGCAAGGAAGGTGTCAATATCAGCTGTTCACACAAGAAAGTCAACCTAGATGCTACTCTGAAAATGACAACACTCAAAAAGTAACCCCCTAGGAAAGGAAGTGGTGCCAGTAATCTGAGCGTGACCCAAGCAGGTGCAAACTGTCACCCAGGAAAGGCCAAAGGATGAAGGTGAGTGAAGTCTGCCATGTTCAGGTTTTTCAGAAAGAGGTGTTCCAGAAAAGTGAGCCAGATATGGATATGGCAACTCTCAATCATTTGCTGAATCACAGAATCACTACAGTTGGACAAGACCTCTACGATCATTTAGTCCAACTGTCAACCCAACACTACCATGACCACTAAACTATGTCCTGAAATGCCACATTCACACATTTTTTATGGTGTAGCTCAGCTGAAATAAAACACTGTAAATCTGAAAAAAAATTATTTAAAGGAAAACTTGGATCCTTAAAATAATTTTGTAGACACCAGTAACGTTCTATTCTGAAGATAATGCAAGCAGCACGAAGTTGCTGTTTTGTTTCAATATCTCCTTACACAACCTATATCAAGTTGAGGTTTAAAATTAAATGGCATTACTGTATGAAAAGCCAGAAACGGAAAGCTTGAAAAACCAGAAACAAGAAAAAATAAGTCAGAATTTCCGCAACCTTTTAAAAAGTCAGTAGGGAGAAATACATTTCTGACTCAAAATTCTGACAAAATCTAGTTTTCATTTTCTGACAATTCAGTGAATTTTGATCCTACAGCTATAGGACAAATAAAGGTGAAATACCTGAATTTCAGTCATGGTACAGTGTGACAACTTCCGCTTTACATGTCTGCTACTACTTTAAGTTCATTATTTTAACAGATAAAGTCTTCAACAACTATACTAGGTTAAGGTAACTCCTACCTTCTCAGTACTTATTTCCTCTCCCAAATAATGCCACCCCTTCAGATGTGCCGGTTCAGTTACTATATATAATCATGCCTAAAATACACCATCAAAACAACCCAACTTGGAAAGAAAAAAAAAAAAAAACAAAAAGGACAAAAAGCCAGCTGAACTCTCCAAAGCAGCACAGCTGTACTACACAGAACAGCTGTTTAACACACACAGAGACATGGCTTTCCATGACGTAAAGTCAGGGACAAGCAGTAGGAATATCTTAAGCTAAAGGTCTGGACATTTATGGCACAGACTGTATTTGAATGTGAAAAAAACCTGGGGGACGTAGCATGGAGTATCTGAAGATCGTGAACGAAAGCAGACGGATATGCTAAAGAAAAAGTGGTGCCAAGTCCACTTTAGAAAACGTTAAATGCATCATGTGCAGACCCCATTGCCATGACAGCAGTAACTGAAAACTGCGAAGAGAGCAGACAGACAGAAGATGCCCTCCTTGTATTACTGGCACCTACTCCACTCACCAGCTACAGTGACCAGCAGATCTTCCCGATTAAGAAAATACACAAATATTTATACATAGCCATATTTATACATTTATAAATATACATGCATAAATATAGATACCATATACACATGTATAAATATAGATATCTACATACATGTGTATTTATATGTATAAATACATATATTTACACATATAAATACAGATATTTATACATTACTACTCTTCTCTGGTCTTGGGGATTGTCTCTCTTCTACAATACATACTCTTATTTCTAAAAACAAACTGAAATTTGTTTCATGTAACTTTGAAAACAAGTTGTTCCTCATCCCCCTGGGCCCTGAATTCCAAAATCATCATAAGTAAACTAAAATCATCATAAAGTAAACTATATTAGATATCGATTTGACTCCTTAGAGTATTCTATTTTTATACCACTTCCATTTGGAAACTCAGTAATTTATTTGGATTTTATTAGCAAGAGATTACCTTATCAATGGCTGATGCAGAGCGACCAAAGAAGCATGGACGATAACCGATATGACAGAAAGGTGGAAGTAATCAAACATAACATTGACGTAATGATGAAGGCCTCGGTGTAAGTTAAAGTGCAACTTTAAAGTTCGGCTACTAATGGGCTGTAGTGTGCTCAGGTCATCTGGTCTAAAGAGAAATTTAAATAGAACAACATACAATTAGAACAATCATATTTAAAGTGAAAGTTATTAATAACTGACACAGATAGCAATTTAGCAGAGATCTATACTTAGGAATGCATCTCTCCCAGGGAAAAAAAAATACAAAAAAACCCCACAACAACAAACCAGAATGAGACAAACCAGTCATGAAATCTTAACAGACTAAACAGAGCTAAACAGAAGCAATTCTGCTCAGAGAGTTTTGCCTCTCTGTTCAGTGTCTTCTTAAAGACTACATGTTCTGAAGTTCGCAGCATGTTTCTGCAGACAGTGTGTGCTACTGGCAGTGATAACACCTGATGTTTGCAGTTACTGCCTGGGACTGGGATGCAGAAAGGCTCTTGCTTGTACTTATTCCTACAGTGCCCAAGGCCACTGCTGGCTCTTGTGTGCCACACTGGGGGTGCCGGGTAGTGAGAGGGGTCACAAGGAAGTAAAAGGTTGCACCTCCGGTGAGTTACAGACAAGAAAAGCGACCAACAAGAGCGTTCCATTCCATACACATCATATTCAGTATAAAAACTTGAGGGATCACAAGGGTTTAGGCCTCTTTTTCTTCTTCAGTGGCCGGCATCTGAGGAGGGCTCCATCTGATCTCATGCTTTTGATACCGATCCCGAGTTCCTGAATCCAGCTCCTGTATCCAGCTCCCCTCTGCCACCGAGCCTGGCGCCGCCTGCTCTGCAGCATCAGTGGGGATTCATAGTGGCGAGTAGTTGGGTTCAATACTGTATTTGTATATAGTTTATTATTTTTATTATTTCCTTATTCATTACAGCTGTTTTATTTTTATTATTTTTCCCAATCCTTAAGTCTCTCTGCCTCATAGAATCATAGAATGTTCGGGGTTGGAAGGGACCTCTAGAGATCATCTAGTCCAACCCCCTGCCAGAGCAGGATCCCCTAGGGCAGCCACACAGGAACACATCCAGGCAGGTTTTGAAAGTCTCCAGAGAAGGAGACTCCACAACCTCTCTGGGCAGCCTGTGCCAGTGCTCCAACACCCTCACAGTAAAGAAATTTTTCCTCATGTTGATGTGGAACTCCCTATGTCCTAACTTAAACCCATTATTCATTGTTCTATTACTGGGCACCACTGAGAAGAGATTGTCCCCTTCCCCTTGACACCCACCCCTCAGATATTTCTATACGTTAATAAGGTCCCCTCTCAGTCATCTCCTTTCAAGGCTAAACAGTCCCAGTTCTCTCAGTCTCTCTTCACAGGAGAGATGTTCAAGTCCCTTTATCATCCTCGTAGCTCTCCATTGGACTCTCTCCAGTAGGTCCCTGTCTCTCTTGAATTGGGGAGCCCAAAACTGGACACGGGATTCCAGGTGTGGTCTCACCAGGGCAGAGTAGAGGGAGAGGAGAACTTCCCTAGACCTGCTGGACACACTTTTCCTTCCTTTTTGGGAAAGGAGAGGGGGTTAGAGAGCATCTGTCAGCGTTCAGTGGACGGCCCAGCCCTAACCCAAGTCAATTACAGATTTAATCAGCTTAAAAAATTGACATATATTGTGGCTTTAACAAAACCTTCTGTATTTAAACTTACGAATAGTCTGTATCCGTGAAGTGCAGATCTAATGTTAGCAGAAAATTCATTTCATTAAGAGACTCCTCAATCTAAAAAGAAATTGTAGAACCATGAAATCTTCAGGTCTCTTATTTATACTAATCCAAATAGTACATAAAAAAGACTCAATTATCTCAATATAGTAAAGTAGAATGGGAGATTACCTTCCTCTCATCTAATAGCATTTTTATTTTGAAAATCATCACGTCGTTCACAGAAACCTCCTCATTTTTGTAAAGAATCTGAAACGTTTTACTGCAAACTATATTGTCATGAATTGAAGCGGGAAAAGCAAGCTCTGCAGCTGAAAAGAGAAACAAGTATAAATATAATTGGCCTAGAATCTGGAAACCCCAAAGCAGCTAGTAAGTGGAACTATCATTCCTATCAGTTTCATGACCACTATTAAAACCGTAACATCAACACTATCAGCAGTTTCCATTTCGGTCCGCAACTGCTGGAGTTGGAAGGAGTGCATTTTGTTTCAAAGAAATATTCTATCAGTTTTTCTAATGTAATTTGCTTTTAATATAAATTCCAAACTGAAGAATTTTTACTTCATTCCAAATCAGAGTAAGACATTCTAGGTATCAAAAACCCTAATAAAATCCTGACATCTGCCTTGTTTCATCCAGCATTCATGTTGATTTACAAGGTTTAACCACACCGAGAATTCTTAATTACCTACAGATGAAGTTAGATGGCAGAGAAATTAAATGACATATATCACTTCACTGAATTAATCAAGAACAGAAGCGGTTCATTCTTTACTTTCAGACCTTTGCATACTACTCTGGCCACACCAGTTCCAAGTGTATCACCTAAACTTACATTTCTCATCCAATACGACATTTCTGCTTTCAGTCCACAGGCTGCTCATCAGAAAGTCAGAAAAAATGTGATAAACGGTTGGGAAATCCTTTGCCAAAAAAAAGTTAATGACTTGCAGAAGAAACAAGTAAGGGAATGGTTTAAAACTGTTACTGAAGAAGAATTTAGCATAATAGCAAGGGGTTATCACATAGGAAATATCATGATGGGCACTGTCCCATGGAAGAACACATAAAAGAAGGTGGAACTTGAAGAACAGAAGTAACAGATATACTGACACTTTCTTATCACTCCTCTGCAAGCAGGCTCAATAACATTAACCTCTTCCAGAACACCAAGTCTAACAGACTGTGTAAACAGGCGTGCAAAACATTCTTTTAAAATTCTTTCGATTATTCTTAATAAATTACTTAAAAAAAAAAAAGAAATCTGCAAAGTTTGTGCTTTACAGATTTGAGGTCTACAGACCTCTGACAGAAAATCACCACACCTGGCAAATATTGCCACTCTATAATCTTCCTAACAACTTAGCTCAACTTCCCTTCAGAAACTAGAAAAAAGCAAAAACACTGGGCTTTGCTGAAGTACTTTCACACATACCATCCATTTTGGCGTCCTGGACAAAAAGCTTACAAAGGCTGAATTTCTAAAGTCTGATTCCCCTATACAAAATGCCACTTTCAGCTGATATCCGTGACACCTGTCACAGGTGAAGGGCAGAGCGAGTACGGTTTCACATGACACGTAAACTGATAGAACCACACAGCATCAGCAAATGGGATCCCCGCCTCGTCTGATACAAAAGAAGTAACGGAGACACATGGCTGAGGCCCCACTTCCTTTGCAGTGGCTGAACTCTTGAGTGAGAGCCCTCGGTTCTGCTGACCTCTGTGTAACGCGAAACGGCACCCCCAGATATGAGAGAGGAGTGGAAGAGGAAAAGCTGATGCCAGGAAAGGGCTGAGCCACATCTACGTGGAGAGCAAGGTCTCACGAACGTGTAGTCAACAAGGCAGAACTACTGTTTTTCAAGTCAGCTTCACACTGACTGGCCAAGGCTATTTCTAAGCTTCTATCCACACAAAAAAAACATCTTGACAATGGAGAAGGAAAAATAACGGGGAATTAATTTAGTGTTGCACTGTGAAAGCAGACATCTCATTCCTAACCTTTTTTTTTTTTTTTTTCCTTTCTTAAAACCAGCCCCAAGTTTCTGATAGCAGGAATTCAGGGCAGCCTCAAAGCTCAAATAACCTCACACAGGCTAGAGTTACATATGTTTTCTTTTAACTTCCTACAGCATGACTACGTTCCCCTTCGAATTACAAGAATGCCTGGAGACATTCACACAGCTGGAGCTAAAGTAAGTGGCTTGTCCTATCCCATCTGTAAAGATACTCATTCTGGCAATTCCAAGAAATTCTAGTGAGCTACCGAAGGACGTGAGAAATACAAATGGAAGAAAACTGGATTTAAATTATCACAGGACCTCACGAAGACCTAGGAAGGGCTGGGCAAGGAGCAGAAGGTGATGCAACGGAACAGGAAGAACGGAAAAACTGAGAATGTGTATTTGACTTGGGGAAACTAAACGAAGAGAGAATTCAAACAAACCATATGTGGGAGAGAGAATAACACACAGATAAGGTAAGGAAACTGCAGGTGACTCGTGCTGAGGCTAGGGAGAACTAGAAGTAGGCAAAATGACTTGGACTGGAGTGGGAAAACCTCGACACTGTCAAAGGGAGTAAGGATTTAGAAGAGCTCAACATGAGGAAGGCAGCATAGGAAGAAGCAGCTGACCAGCACAGGACACCATTCTTGGGAGCGAGAGCTGTGGTCTCCAGCCCAGCCTCCTCTCTGGTCAACAAGCTGCAGACACTTTCAGGCAGTGGGTTGACTCTCTTAGTCCTAGTCTACACAGAGCCTACAGCAGGCTCTGTAACTGGTACCAGCTATTCCACCACCTTGAGGAGAGCCGTGAGTTAGAGCTACAGTGTCCGGTTCTGCTGAATGAAGCAAGCAGCTGAACTGAATGGAAGACAGAGGTCCTCAGCAAGACCAAGCACTATCATATCCACAAGAAGGACAAACTGACACCCTCTTACTGACCAGTTTGTACCCTCCTCTCTGCTTTGTAGTGACACAAACATTATCAGTAACTACCTGATAAACCAAACCAAGAGACTGATTTAAAATCACCCCAGTTTTCAGCTTTGGAGGGGTTTGGTTTTCAGAAAAAACGTTGCTTGTGAGCTGAATGTGTTTCCCAGTACCTGGGTCAAATCAGACACTTGTGTCAACAAGGCACAGAGTAAGGAGGAGAGGCCAGAGGCAATCACAGGCTGGGTTTTGGATTCTTTTGGGGCAGCACTGATGATATAAACTCTCATCAAATTGCAGTGTTAATGTTTACATCCTTTATTCTTAATAACGAGAGACATGAGAGCTAACACATATGTCACAGTTTACTAAAAAGATTGCAGCTTCCTGAAAAAATAACTGAAGACCACTCTAACATACACCATGGAGTGAAAAAACGTTTTTTTCAGCAATATTAAATATATTGTTAAGCAATACTATTAAAAAAGTATGCTTTACTAAAGGATCAGTTTGGCAGAGCTGGATTCCCTAAACCACACTAAACTTTGCCTTTGAAGTGGTATATTCCTGGTTCACACTATTTATTTATTTATTTAACATAAATCCAAGAAACGTTCAAGAAGATTGACTGAAATTCAATATCTATATTTCATGCACCACTCGGAGTTACTTTTAAAATAGCTTCCAAAACTCAGGTTTCAGTAACCTCACAGCACATTTTCTCAGGCTGCAGTAGGTTTTTCTTCCTTGCATTCAAGAATTCCACCTGACACTTGAAAACTTAATTCATGTTTTGCTTTCCATATTTCTACAGCATGCTGCGGTGCGTGCTTCACAGAGTACTAACAGGTTTCTCCAGTTTCAGTTTGCCTGGACAAAGACACCAAAACTGAGTGCCAGGTTAAAAAAAAGAAAAAAGACGAATGAATGGGTATTCTCTTCAGGAGATGAATCAGTTTTCAACTTTGCTACCAGACAATAAAAGAGCAAGTTTGAAAACAGCAAGACTGGATCCTTTCAGCCTTCGTTTTGAAAAAACAAAATAGTTTAGCAATCTCTATAAGAATCTGTATCTGAATTTCTCCACTACTTTGAGGTATTTACTTAAACAAGATTTGATCTTGGTCATCTTAGTCTGAAACATGGAGAAGACTGAAGAGATCAGTGGAAAAACCAGAAGATACTAAAAAGGAATCACCACGTTTTGCTACCAGCAAATGGAATTAACAGAGGAAAAACCATAACACATTCTGTTATCAACTTCTGAGTCTCACTGCTAAGAACAAGCTAGTTTTTCAGCAGGTGATCATGAAACAATCTGTATTTTTATTGTGTTAATAACAAAATTAAACCCGCTTTTATATTAGTTGTAACAATATGAGACAAAAACCACACTCCCTTAATTAGCAAAGCAAGACCATGACCTCATTTACTGCAAGTTTTTGCACTTACCAGTTGCATGTAACAAGCTAGCTTCTAATTTGTGTGGAATTCTTGGAGGAATTTTCATAGACGCACGAATCTGGTAAAAGCTAAAGCAAAAGACAGTGATTTGCAACACATAGCACAGGTACATTTCATTTACCATATACAGATAAATACAGTAATAAAGATGGGCAAGTGGGAAGGAGGAAGAGGGCAAGGAAGACTACAAAGTTTAAAACTGTCTTATTTTGACTCTTTCTCCTGTTGTTTGTTTCTTTTTCCTTACTCGTAACCAGAGCAGCAGCCAAATATGAATAAAAGGAGGAAGCCTCAACACAAGAGTGAGTCCCTCCACAGCCCCGAGAGCTGGTGCAAATGGTCATGGAGATACACAGGGACCTACACCGGGGAACTGAAATGAATGAAAAACTGGGATTGTCACCTACGCTACAGCCACCTCAGAAGGATCTACCATGTAGCACATCTACAGGACTGCTACAGCCAGCTCTGCCACTGAAGCAGCTATTCGTGAAACTGCAAGCCCCCCCTTCCAGGATCCCCAGAAAATACACTGCCTACCAAACACTCTCTACATTGCTTTTGGCCACCAGATACTAAAAAGTGCAAATAAAGGATCACACTAGACAAAATGTTGCAGTACTTGCAGTGTGAAGACACAGTACTACTGTCTTTATGCTATCAAAGGCGGGAACTGAAGGCTTAAAAGACTAAAATTTAAAAAAACCAAACAACAAAAAAAAACCCAACCAAAAAAAAACCAACCTTATTCAGCTCCATCTTTGATTTTCATCTATGAAATCCCTAATTGTAATCCGTATTGATTTTACAGAAGTCTGTACATAACACAAGAATCCATAAATACACTTAGATGATACGTTCTATCCATCTCATCCCACTTCAGATAATTCCTCAGTGAGCTGACACGACCCACCACACAGCTCCACGAACACCCACAAAAGGGAGGAAGCAAGAGCATTCAGCAGTAGAGAGCAGGAAGATAAAAATGCCCTTTTTGGCAGAAGCACAGTCCTAAATGCCCACATGAGCAGGCAATTTATCCTTTGTATTCCACTCACTGCGTACAAGCACTCACAGTCTTTTGGTTCGTTTTTATCATTCCCACTATGCAAATCCAAACTACTCTATCAGCTGTGTTGTTCTGATTTTGCCTTCTAATACTTCAACTAAAGCTGAGCAGCCAGGACTTCACTAGCAACTGGCTCAACTGTGTACTAGCCCAACAATCAACCAAAGAAAAAAATTCTTGATTTAATCCTTCCACAAAATTAGTATGTAAACTTTAGTCTGATAAAAAAACTACACATCAAATAATGTTTCATAACAGAAGATACTTAACGACTGGGTGATACTGCTAGAGATAAGAGATGATAGCTAAATGTTTCCTATCTTTTAAAAAATAATCAAATAAAACTTAAACCACTGAAAAATAATAATTTCATATTTTGCTTTTAGAAACCCACAGGTCAAACCATGATTCCATATATACTTCTTACTGATTCATAAACAGCAAATTAATTCATTTTGTATTGCATTTTAAAAAACCCCAAAATTAAGCTTCCACTGCCATCTTCTCTCAGAGTATAAGTAACTGAGGAGATTACAAGAGCCCTCTCAACATTAATCCAGGAGGATGAGATCTAATACACTGATGTGCTCCTTTTCTGTGGGTCACACGTGACTTCCATCATACAATTAGACACTCATTTCACCTATACTTAGGACATGATACATTATAATGCGTAATAGTCTCAGCAGGGAGATACTTCCTACCAGCTCCAGTTTAAGCATAATTTCTGAATCCGCAGTAAACCTGTACCAAGAAGCTGCCACCTCACCATTACAGGCTGCATCTTCCCGTGATGCCGAAGGCTAGCTTGTCATGGCAGAGCACACTGCTTGTTAAGAAAAGAATGCAAAATCATTGGTACGGTTTATATTATGTCTCAGTAGTTTAGAGACATTTTACTTCATCTCACTCTAACCTTACAAACGTACTATAGGTAAAACGAAAGGCAAAGGCAAAATAAGAAGGGAGCACCAAACACAGAAAAAGGTGCAATGTTGATATTCCTGC